TATAGAGTCGCAAAAAGGAGTCCTTTCGTAGGCTGGTCAAAGTGGTCACCCACGCACTTACTGACCTCAGCTGGTGATGATTGACTTTGGTGTTCTTCTGGGAACCGTGTCTTAACGATCATTAACTGCGGGACGAAATGGTGCATTTTTCCATAAAAGTTTTTGAGAGCAGCTACTTAAAAAATATTTTCTTTATTTGCTGAAAAATATTTTATTTATTTTTGCTAGCCACATCTTTTCTATACGGTAACTATTACGGATTTAAAAAAAGAAAAATTAAAATCTATGATCCTCTTCACATATTTCTATATCTTATGGACTTCCAGCGGATTTCAGGAATACATAATTTGTAGATAGTACATCATGCCAATCAAAAATAAAAATGAATATAATTGTATAGTTTGAAAGATATAATAATTAGTGCCTCCATAGCTTCAAGAGTCACTACACATGAATGTGATAGTGACAGTTAAACTTTATGTCGAGACATTAATTTCTTCTACTACCACACAGAATGCCCTTTTCACAAATTCCCCTTACACAAAATTTTGAACGTATAGCACTAAAATTCTTTTAATTTTATTTCAATAAAATGCACGCTATAGTCCTAAGAATTTACGGGTCTAAAAAAATGAAACATTAGTAGTAAATTTAAGTTAAACCTTAACGGCAGCAGCTGATCACAAACGTATTAAATGATCGAACTGCGTCCAGAAATGCCAACTAGTTGTAGTCTTTTAATGCATAATTCCGGGTTCAGTAAATTCGATTCTGCCCGGTTACGGTTGGGTATAAAAAATGAAAAAGTAGCATATATAAAAATAACAATTGAACTTAGAAGAAATATGGCCGAATTATAAAAAGACAATTAATACAATTACGCATAGTGTCCGAATAACCCATATCTAAAAGAGAAACAAGAACAAAACAAGTATTTACCTGGAGTTATCTTCTAGAAAATCTATATGAATAAATCACTCAAAGAAAGATAGTCACTTTATAAAAAAACCAATAGTTCTTTTTATTAGGTGGATCCATGTTGAGAGACAGGAAAATAGTGTCCAATGGTGGAGTAGTGGGTGAAGGTCAGGAGATTCAGTGCAAAGGAAATTTTTAGATGAGTTTTAGACGACTGTTGGTTGGTGATGGATCATTTTAGTAGTTTACTGGAAACACCGGTCTTTCCGCACAAAAAAATCGGTTGGAGCATTTCCCAGAATTTCGGATTCCTCTCGGCTTTGATTTTTTTGAAAAGTTAAAAGCAGCATTACGACAAGCTAGCAATGACGGTGAAGAAGTCCATCAATGGTGGTGTCTGGATAGCTAAGGTGTCCCATCAATATCATATTAAAAGCAGGAGATATCCCAAGCACAAAGCTATAAATGACTGTGAAGAAGTCCATCAATGGTGGTGTCGGGTCAGCGGATCATCTTAAAAGCTGGAGATTCATCATCAGAATTACTTAGTAGACATTAATCCGAGAAAATGAAAAGGACAGCAGATTGACAACATGGCGGTAGACGTGACGCCATCCTAAAAGATGTTCTCTTCCTCAAGAAGGAGGATGGGGGAAAAACGTACTGCCAGGGAGCAGCGTGACTTGGGATGATGAAGAATTTCGAATGCGCCGGTCAATTTTCGCGCGCTCTTTTTATAAGAGACAAAAACTTAATAGTTGAAGTTGTAGTACATGTTGTGCAAGTTAAAGTTAAATTATCTGAAAACTACGAGTTGAGACGAAAAAATTGATTATACGTTAAAAGTTACGGTTGAGAAACACAACATACACGCGGAGATGAAAGATGCCGACAACCAGTGCGAATTCTCAGAAACGAAAAGGGTGGAATGTTCTAGAAAAAAAGGGGTTCTGCAAGGAGCTGGTGGGGAATTTTAGGGGGAGAATGTCCAAATTNTCCCCTCCGCAGAGGATCAAAATTGTGATGGCATGTCTTCGGATCATCCTCCGGGATGTTTCCCAGACCGTCGCCAATAGCCCATTGTGCAGCTCTAGTGCGACGTAAAGTAACAGCAACAACAACAGCTTCAAGAGTCACTACACATGAATGTGATAGTGACAGTTAAACTTTATGTCGAGACATTAATTTCTTCTACTACCACACAGAATGCCCTTTTCACAAATTCCTTACACAAAATTTTGAACGTATAGCACTAAAATTCATTTAATTTTATTTCAATAAAATGCACGCTATAGTCCTAAGAATTTAAAATTGAAAGGTGTTAGAAGTGCCGACGGGTCTAAAAAAATGAAACATTAGTAGTAAATTTAAGTTAAACCTTAACGGCAGTAGATGATCACAAACGTATTAAATGATCGAGCTGCGTCCAGAAATGCCAAATGCCATCTAGTTGTAGTCTTTTAATGTATAATTCCGGGTTCAGTAAATTCGATTCATAGGGTTTTTACACACGACTTCTTCTCAATACGCCACTTTATTACAGTTCAACAGTGTTAAAACATATAAATTATTGGAAAAATTACACGAAATTCTGCAAATTTTAGCATGTTGCTCTCTACCGTTTTTTAAAATATTTTCTAGAATCCGGAGTAGTTGACATCTCTGTACGTCTTTTTGTTGTTACTACTTTTTATCCTCTTCAGACCCAAAGTACCCATTAAGGTACTTTGGGTCTGAAGAGGATAGGTACTTGGTGAAGTACCCATTAAGGTACTTCACCAAATAAAGGGTAACCACAGCCTGTAGAAATGAAAGAGAGGTGACGAATTTGTCTCAAGACTGTTTAAAATTTCATAAAATTAACTTACGATTTACTTTTACAAAATCAGTTTTGAAGTCTTCACATGACGATAAACGAAATTATTTTTAGCAGATGTTAATACTTCAAATTATGCATATTTTTTAAAATTTATTTACCACTTTAAAACAGTTATCCGGCCGTGCTTAGTCACATCAGTCTGAAGAAGTCAAGGTCTTGTACAACCTCAACTTCAAACAAACATAGTTTAGAGCAAGCTGCTCAATTTATTTTTTGATTCCTCTTTTGTTATTCAACCAAAATGCTTGAAGAATTTATAAAAGCAACCCCACTGCCTGCTTACTTCAATGCTCAACCGTACATCTTAAAACAAACATAGTTTAGAGCAAGCTACTCGTTTTATTTTTTGATTCCTCTTTTGTTATTCAAGCAAAATGCTTGAAGCATTTATAAAAGCAACCCCGCTGCCTGCTTACTTCAATGCTCAACTGTACAACTTCAAACAAACATAGTTTAGAGCAAGCTGTTCGTTTTATTTTTTGATTCCTCTTTTGTTATTCAAGCAAAATGCTTGAAACATTTATAAAAGCAACCCCATTGCCTGCTTACTCCAATGCTCAACCAAAATAGTGCTAAATTCTTGATGAATGGGATAAGGGACGCTTCGCGCGCGGCCTAGGTGCCCAATAAAATAAAAACACTAGGACTAGGAAGTCAATGCCTTATATCAGGCACGAAGAGGTCAAAAGGCTCATGGGAGACTTGTATTAAAGCAAGTAGAAGTGTTTTTCTTATTTTTTTAATTTGACAGCACATAATTACTCACAGTTATATTTTCGGAGCATTTATATGGATCTTTATTATTATTTATGAGTCGCAATGGTTAAAATAATTTAAAATCAAATTTATTCAATCAAAAATAAATTTAAAAATTCAAATTTTACTATCTCAGCAGTAAAAATGTATTTTCTAGCGATATAAGCGTAAAATAGACAGCTATGTAATAGTATGAACTATTAGAAAGAGAATAACATAGAGAAACATTTTAGGAGAATAACCTTGCTTAGCAAATATACAGAAAACAGTTTTTTCCATTGTTTTTGATGCATTATTTGTTGATTCAGCGTTACAATCAAATTCGAAAGTAAACTCTCTAAATAAAGATTGAATCATATAAAACATTTAGTGTAACAGCAAACTCTTAGATTATCAAACTAAGGATAACTTTAAGGATGTCAAATTCAATTCGAGCTATAAAAGTAAGTTTATTTTTCTTTCGATTAACAAAATAATTTAAATTAATTATCATCCACCAACACTATTATTTACTTCTTATTAGGAACCTGATTCCGTTTACGGACCTTTTCTTAATCAATCTTAAAGTTTTAAGTGGTTAAATTTTTAACAGGATTCGTATAGTCTTAAAATACTTAAACAGTGGCAGCAAAATTAAGAAAATAAGATAGATTTTGATAAATTCGTTGTCAACGCTTAATATTTCTTAATAAATATATTTAATCGCGCTTTTTGCAATAATTATTATAATTAAGTGAAAGTTAAAAAAATTGTAATTTCTCTATTAGAATATTGAGATTGATTTTTAACTCTTTTAAAGATCATACAAATCCTGTTTAAGAGGAGTGGGGGTGCTTAGGTTTTAGGGACTAATATAATGTTGCTATGATTTAATTATTATTTTTTTTTGAAAAGCAAAATTGAGAAAAATATACAGCGGGAGTCAGAATAAAACAGCAAAATTTTAAGGGAAAATTTCTGAAGAAGCCATGGCAAAATAAATGTCATAATACGTGGCCAGGGGCGCTTCCCCATGATGAACTTTTTCTTCGTGTGTCTGTGAATATGTAAATTTTTTTTAAATCTAAATTATCTTAATTTCTTGTTTCTAATGCCTCTTGGCATTTCCGGCAAAATTAAATTCCTGGTGCACTTTAGCATCCAAATAGAGTCTCGGTGCTGCAGCTCATTGGAAATAAAATAAAAAAGTTTCTAATGTCTTTTGTTTGAATTCTTGTTTTCTAATAAAAAAAGCATTTAAGTCGGTTCGGAATTAGATTTTTAAAGACTTGGCAAGCTTGTCCAATTAGTTACCAAATCTTCATATTATGATTACATCGTCTGATTATGACGTCTTATTAAGATTAACCCTATATATGTTTGAAATAACTCGTATCTACCAATAAAAATTTTCATTTTAAAGAAAATATTTATGGTTGTAAAAACTTATCTACGACTTATAGATTTTTTCCTGATCACCTATGAAATACAAAACAAAAGTTTAACACATTTATAACCGGTCGCAAAAAGTGGCCCAACGTGTTAAAAAAGTAAGAAGTACATAATTTTATACCAAGTATAAGTATATATTTCTTACTATTAACTAACATTTAAGCTTTTATTTTAAAAATCTGTGCTTTGAATTCTGACCCAATTAGAAGCATTTATTTTATTAATAATTATGATAAACAGAACTATCATGTTTCTGCAATAAAAATCCTAATAACCCTTGTGCTATCAAATTTTTTCAAAATTTTTTATTTCATTTTCGTATTTCCATTTTTTTTTTATTTTAAAAAAAAACTTTGTTTCTGCGACAAATGGCTTCAATGTGGCATCAGTTCCAGGATCAGGAATTTTGTTTCTGTTAATTCATTTATTGAATCTTTTAGTCCGTAAATAGATTTTGGTTCTTTTAGTTCGAAATAGATTGTTCTTGTAGCAGTTACGAAACAATTGTAGCTTGAATTATCACCCAGTACAGAACTTCTCAACCCTAGTTTTAAACATTTTATTTTCAGTAGAAAAATGTATGGAAATCGTACTGAAGTTATATTCTTTTTAGCTATAAAATAGCAATAAAGTCCACTCGTAAAGGTAAATAAGCACTTGAATCATTCAGCATGGAGCTGTAATTTTAGTTAAAACCCTTGAACTCTATCACTCTTAATACTCCAATAATTTTATGAAATGATTTTCAGATCAAATAATAGAAAAAATTGGTAATTGAACCTTTCTTCACCCCCTATTTTGAAAGAAAATTAAATTTTTTTTGGCTACGACAGCTTATTAATATTAATAACATTTATTTCTACTCATAAAATGGTTGGTTGATTGCTTCTAATGACATTTGCCACACGGGCAAGCCTGCTTGATGAAACCGAGCAAATTTAAGATGCGATTCTTGTTTTTCAGTGGCGCCATCTATGGCCAAGAATTCGACTTCTGCCACATCATACGCCACACCTGTTTATAAGGCGGACCCCTTGATACATCCATTCATTCATCTAGAGATCGTAATTTTGACCTGAATCAGAGAACGATCGATCTCCAATCCAGTAGCCCCAGAAGTATTGATTTGTTATGGGAACATGGTGGAATTTGCGACTCGACAGAATTTTAACGTGCACCAGTCACCAACTACGCGGGGAGTCTTCGGCCGGTAGGGTTCGAACCCACGATCCCCTCATAAAGTAGTTCCCTAGCCTATGCCTATGTGAGGTTGTTTTCTAAGTTTCGGCCCCGTCAGGGGCCCGAACTCATTCATCCCAGTGATGGAATATTTAAATAGCCGAAGCTCATGCCACTGGAGTTATAATAAAAAGGGCAATGCATGATTAAAATAAACAGCAATAAAAAATATATACAATGTACAAGAAGATCCCTAGCAATTATAATTTTTTTCTTTTTTATATTGAGAGAGAGAAAAAATGGTTGTAGTCACATTGTTTACTTGTTTTGAAACTATGTGAAACATTGTTTACTTGTTTGTTCACTATGTTGAAATAGGGTTTAGTTGCACTAGTAACTGGTGGAGCATCTGGTTTAGGTGAAGCTACTGTTAGACGTTTGGTTCAACAAGGAGCTTCGGTAGTTATTTGTGATTTACCTGTTTCAAATGGCCATAAGCTTGTTGAAGAACTCGGAGAAAAATGCGCCTTTGCTGCCGCTGACGTAAGTATAATTTAGGTGTTTTCTTTTAAATAAAAATAAAAAAGACATTAAATTTTTAATTTATCGTCAATTAAATTTTGAAATGTTTTTTTTTTCATGCTTGTGAAAGAAACTCAAACGTAATTATTTAAAATGAAAACTTGGTTTAAATTGATAAAAGGCCTTTGCAGGCTGCGTAAGTAGGTCCTAAAAATGAAAAAAACACTGTTGCTAATATTGTTGCAAAGAAGTTTCAAAATTCCTTTATCACTGCTTTAAAACAAATACAAACTAGTTACTGGGTATCCAGGGTTTGATGTTGTTGTAGTTAATTTACGTCGCACTAGAGCTGCACAATGGGCTATTGACGACGGTCTGGGAAACATCCCTGAGGATGATCCGAAGACAAACCATCACAATTTTGCTAGAAGGGTTAATCTTCAATATATCAATTAATTAGTGCGATATTTTAAATTTACGGAATCGGATATAAAAATGTATTTCCTCTGAATATAAATGCTTTATTTTCAATAAAATTAAAATCGTGATTCACGAAATGTGGTGGGTCAATCTGGAAAATATAATTTGGATAGAGGAACGGTCGGAAGCTAGGATCCCTAACACCGTATAAATTTGTGTAATTATCGGCAACAAAAGCCAAAATGTAAAGGGATCAATCAACTAGCTCTCAAGGAATAAAAATTAAAAAATATGAGATTACAAATCTACACAAAAAATGAAATTAACATTTTAATGGATCGTAACTTTCGACCACTCTCCTGACCGAATTGTTTTGTTATAATGTTTTCCAGATATCGGCTGCAAGTCCCACTCCACCCCCATATATTTTAAGGATCAATAATCAAAGTCTGTCGAAACAAAGGTGTACTTATTCGGAGAAAGTACGTTTTGTGTCTGATTTTCTATTTTAAAATATATTTTGCTCAAATGAATTAGTAGTAGTAGTAGTTCACTTACGTCGCACTAGAGCTGCACAATGGGCTATTGGCGACGGTCTGGGAAACATCCCTGAGGATGATCCGAAGACATGCCATCACAATTTTGATCCTCTGCAAAGGGGATGGCACCCCTACTTCGGTAGCCCAACGACCTGCACGCGAAGTCCAGCATTTTACGGTAGAACAGTTTAACGAGGACCAATACCGCACACCCTCGGTCCCTACACAGACTGATCCGAGCGGTCACCCACCCGCACACTGACCGCAACCAGTGATGCTTGACTTCGCTGATCTGCTGGGAACCGTGTCTTTAACGATCAGTCCACTGCGGGACTCCAGCGTTTGAGAACTTCACTACTTCATCTGATATAATCCGTAAGCAAATGCCCCGTTTCAACGACCAATCAGGATCGAGATGCCCACACTACGTCACTTCGGGTATCCCTTTGTGTCTTGTCATTGCTTAATTGAAATAAATTCCTCAATATTTTGAAACATATGGTAAGATATAAGAATAAAAAGTTTTTAATGCAAATTTTTATTTTTAAGAGTTATTCATTTTCTTTAGGTGACGAAAGAAAAAGACGTGCTAAAAGCTTTAGATGTGGCAAAAACTAATTTTTCCAAATTAGATGTTGCAGTCAATTGTGCCGGTATCGTTATCGGATGCAAAACGTACAACTTTCGAAAAGGGTTCGCTCATTCTCTCGAAGAATTTTCAAAAGTTGTCAATGTAAGTATGTTTATTTGAATTTCTATTTTTCTTAAAATCACTTTACGCTAAGTGTTTCGTAATCATCATCTTAAAAATATATTTTTTTTAGATTCTTTTTAAAAATTAAGGTAAAGAAAGATATTCCTATAGGAGTTGTAAAGTAATATTTAAGCTAAAATAAATTTTAAAAAAACTATTGAAATCTCCCAAACCACTATTCGAGAAATTGGAATCAATAACATTAAAATCTTTTAGATTGCGCAATCAAACAGAGAAGAATTAACATGAAACTAATAAAAAATGTCAAGTTTCAACCGGCAATCAAATATATTTTGATGGTTTTAATCCTTCCTAACTAAATAGTGACTCGGCAGATTTTGCTATTGTTTTTGTTTCTTATTCTCTTAAATATTAATTTGGGCACCTTAAAGTGCATTTAATTTAACAAGCGATTTAACTATCATTAAATTTTATTAGCGATTATTGATTTCATCATTGACAAGAATTTTGAGGGCTATAATTTTGAAACACTGTGGTGAGAGAATGAGCATGAATATGCTATTAACTGTAATTTTTCTACATAAAATTATTTTCTTAAAACTCCAAATTTAAACCATAGAACAATTTTTTTTCTCGTGGAAAACAGTGGAGTAATTGTTTGCTGCCTCCTTAGAAGAATGTGTAACAACTCTTAGAACTCGGAATTACGAAAATTCGATTCCTTGAAAAATTAGCTGCTGCATGCCAGAATAATGAAATAATATTTAAAATCAGGCAACTAAAACTATGCAGTAACATATTACAGTTACCGGGTGATATAAATACCTTGATCACAAAGTCTGTGGTGCCGAATTCTTAACCCTTTCCGGGGTAATGTAGCCAGTCTAGCAACTGTAAGTGAATGTTACAAACTACTAAAGATATAAAACTGAATTCAAGGATTTTTAGAAACCAATATTCTTTAAATAATAACAAGCTATTCTTTAAATAACAACGAGTATGCATTTTCACTTATAATGGACATTCTTTCTATAGCACCACATTGCATATAACTACATAGTCATAATTTAACGTTCATCAAGAATACCCCTCTTACTCCATTTGCATTTCCCACCACTACATGGAAGGGTAGATTGTCTAAATATTTTACTCAGTTAAGTTCAGAATCTAGGTCAGTCACACTTGCTAATGCGCTGCATGGCTTACATTTTCAATCGAAATTCTGTTCCAGAGAGGATTAACGAGCCTAGAATTCCTCGAAAATTGAGACAAAAAGTACAAGCTTTGTTCTTTTTTTTATTAATTTTTGACAAATTTTGTTGCAGTCGGCATGTACGAAACCACATTTAACGAAATTCTTGATTTAACTAGCGAAATGGCATGTTTTGCTTGATACGAATGTTATAATTGTATTAGATTGTACTCTTTTAATGGGAAATTTTATCGGACTTAACTAGGAAATAATTTTAGAAACATCATCAGGAAGCATATAGTACACTATCATTTGCTTAAAACTATTGAAGGTATTTTCTTGCACAATAACTGTAAAATATGTTTCGGTGCCACATGGAATAATTGAGTTATCATTCAAAGTTATCAGCAACAGATGATGGAATCCCAGCCATTCTGGATCCCCCCCCCCCAAAAAAAAAAAGTCAGAATACTCTCTCATTTACAGAATAAAAGAAACTTTTTTGAAGGGATTTGAATTCTTTCAGATAAGTATTTGAATAATTATCTCAGGTAAGAAAAGCTTATTTCTGTTAGCTTTATAGCAATCGTATGAAAACCATTTTCTTTTATTTTCACTGACATACACAGGTGATATAAAAAACATTAATAACAAGAAAAATAGAAAGAGTCGTTTGGTTGCTAAGGGGAATTAATTATTATCGACTATGTCAACCTTCATCTGTCAAAAACGTACCTCAAGAGAATCAAGTTAACATGTCTTATATACTAGTGAATTCGTATTTAATATTTACAGTGGTAGTTACGCCATATTACTCCCCTTCCAGAATTTTATCTGTGATGGAATTCGATGAACAGATACCACTAGTTGATTCATGCTGTTTATTTTCTTCTTCTTTTTATTTTTTTCATTTTGCTCATTATATTTTTTCCTCATTTTATTTGTAGCATTTCGCTCTTTATTTTTTTTCTTCATTATTAATTATTGACCGGGAGACTTTAGTTACTTCACCGGATTTTTTAAAATTTTTTTTATTTACTTTTTTCTTTGAGCTGTATATTTTTAGGCAAATCCGCTGTTTAATGTGGATCATCCATCAATATTGGCAAGTTCTTATCACGTCCGGGTCACCAATAAAGGGAATTAATTATTTTCGACTATGTCAACCTTCATCTATCAAAAGGTACCTCAAGATAGAATCAAGCGGAAAACTGCGGAAACTAGTAATAGGTGCACCGGAGTACCTGGCCAAAAAGGCCAGAAATTATATGATTATACAAAATATGGCTCCGTAAATTATATGATTACAAACTGAATCAAAGGCCATTGATGTTAAAATTATTTGGGTTAGTAAACTTAATCTTAGTTAGTTAAATAATAATGAGGAAAAAGAAGATAGAAAGGACAGCACAAAACAGGGATAACACAGGTAAAAACATAAACAAACAAATGAAGTCATTAATCATTAGAAAAAATGTTCTTTTAAATTATTTATAATTATTTATTTTTTATTTATAATTATTGACAAATAAGCAGTTAGTGATTAGCATTGTAAGTAGTTGTATTAGTAAATTGAATCAGAATAAGCCGCTGTTATTCCACTGAGAATGGGGCCAACCCAAGCATATGGAAAAGGGTAATGATAAAAATGATGATAGAGGAGATGAGGAGCCAGTCAGAGGGAACGAAAAAATAGTAATGAAGAATGGCCTTGGGCCGTCTCCTGCACTTAGGGTCATCTGGGTCGTAGTTTGTAAAACCATATAAGGGGGTTGAAGTGTCCAGTGCTCTTAAGGAAATAATTAAGAGATCTATTTTTGTATAAGTCAAGAAGGCTAGGAGTACAGACGTCATTACGGATATTTTTGTTCCTGAAATACCAAGGTGAATTTGTGATATTGCGGAGGGTTTTGTTATAAGCACTCTGTAAGAGTTTAAGATTTGTCTATGCAGCCTCCTCCGAAGGCGGGTGCTGCCTGCTGCATATGTTAATAGGGGGGTGAGAAGCAATTTAAAAATTAGAATCCTGTTATTAGTGCTGAGGGGGGAGTTCTTTTTTAGAATAGGATAAAGTGCACATTTTCTGCTATGAATTTACTTTTAATGTTTTTAAAATGATATTTGAATGTCAGAGTTTTATCCATAATGACACTTAAGTAAGTGGCCTTCATTTCCCATTTGAAAGAGAAAAGTTGTTATTCATGATAGCATCCTTCTTGTAGTTCCTTTTTCTGGTGAATAGCACCACTTGAGTTTTGTCGATATTGAGGGTAAATTTCCACTTTTGGAAGTAGTCAATTATGGTGAAGAGATGGTAAATAATATTCCTGTTGATATCGCTGATATACTTGCTTTGAGTGGCAATGGCTGTATCGTCAGCGTACAGAGCAGTCAGAATACCAGGATCTCTAGGGTTATCATTAATAAAAATTAAAAAAAGGAGGGGTCCCAGTTTGCTCCCCTGGGGAACACCGCTATTAATGGATCTTAAGGTGGAGAAAAAGGTGTTGCAGTTGACCATGAACTTTCTGTGTGTTAGGTAGGATCGTATAATTAGAATAAGTGGTCTAGGGAAATTATATTTAATTAATTTATAGATAAGTGCATCGATCCATACCTTGTCGAAGGCCTTAGCCAAATCGAGAAAGACGGCACCTGTATGTTTGTTGTGTAGCCATACTTCGTGTATGTATTCAATGAGCCTGATGAGTTGGTGTTGTGTGGAATGTTTAGGGCGTAAGCCAAATTGCTCATCGATAATAATGTGGTTATCATCGCAGAAGTCTCTCATTCTGCACAAGATGATGTCCTCAGCAATTTTGCTCAATGAGGAGAGTAAACTGATTGGTCGGTAGCTGTCTGGTTTTATGGGGTCTTTACCTGGCTTTAGGACAGGTTTAATGACTGCCATCTTCCAATCAGTGGAGAAGTATGATAAGCGTATCGCTGAGTCAATAATGCATGTTAAATAGTGCATGTAGTTAAGGGGGAGTGCTTTGATAAGTCTATTATGAATATTATCTTTACCGGGTCTCTTATTATTCTTAAGTTTCTTAATGGAGTTAATTACATCACTAAGAGGGACCGGGGTGTGGGTGTCAGGGTCAGAACTGCAGGAAAGAAAATTATTAATACCTCCTCCAACCTCTAGGTTAGTAGTATCATTTCCGGCAAGGTCGTTGGTAAACTGCAATTCAAGACTGTCAGCAATGATGTTGGCTTTCATATTGTCATCGAAGATGACAGAATTATTATGTTTTAGGGGTGAGATAATTGAAGATTTAGCCTTAAATTTGTTGACTGCTTTCCAAATTGAGTTATCTTGGACAGATAGGTCTTTGATATACCTGGTGTAGGATGATTGCTTGTGTGCTCGAAAATCTCTCCTAATTTTAGCGTTGATCTGATTCATTCGAGCTTTGTCATTTGGGTCACGGGACTGCTGCCACAGCCTCCTGATATTGTTTCTATCTCTGATCAGATTTCTGATATGAGGGGGTGCATNATAAATATATATATATTTCAAATCTTCAAAAGTATTCAAATTGTCAAATATTTAATCTTCAAAATGGAAATTAATAAATCTTCGCCTACCTTTCTTACCAATCCTTAAGACAAGGCCGCCCACCCGGGGGCGCCAGAAATGTCGTTCCTAACCGGATTGACTGTGTTTGTGAGAGGCATCTTGTCTATTGATTGATAACGTTTAAAAACAGGCAAAACAAAACATTTATTTTAAATAAAAAACAACAAAAAACAAAACAAAACACAGCGTTCCAAAGATATTTCAAAAAGCCAATTCAACGATATTTTCAGTTCTCTCTTTTTTCTCTTGCCATACTCAGAGTAACCTACATATTCTGAATACTTTTGGTGGCGCCAACTAATTGGAGTTAGTGTTTGCCGCAACAATAAGCGTATCGCTGAGTCAATAATGCATGTTAAATAGTGAATGTAGTTAAGAGGGGGTGCTTTGATAAGTCTATTATTAATGTTTTCTTTACCGGGTCCCTTATTATTCTTAAGTTTCTTAATGGAATTAATTGCATCACTAAGAAGGACCGGGGTGTCTGGGTCAGAGCTGCAAGAAAGAAAATTAATGCCTCCTCCAACCTCTAGGTTAGTAGTATCATTTCCGGCAAGGTCGTTGGTAAACTGCAATTCAAGACTGTCAGCAATGATCTTGACTTTCATATTGTCATCGAAGATGACAGAATTATTATGTTTCAGGGGTGGAATGGTGGAAGATTTAGCCTTAAATTTGCTGACCGCTTTCCTAATTGAGTTATCTTGGACAGATAGGCCTTTGATATACTTGGTGTAGGATGATTGCTTGTGTGCTAGAAAATCTCTCCTAATTTCAGCGTTGATCTGATTCATTCGAGCTTTGTCATTTGGGTCACGGCACTGTTACCACAACCTCCTGATATTGTTTCTATCTCTGATAAGATTTCTGATAAGAGGGGGTGCATTGCAGTAATTGTTTGCCTCCAGAAAAAAGGGAAGCCTCTTCTTTAGCCTCGTTAATAGAATTAGTGAAGCTGTCAACAAATTGATCTAATTGGGTGGGGGTGTCAACTGGGGAGCAAACTAGAGGGGAATTAACTAAAATGGAATTAAATATATTCCAACTGATTTTATTTATTTTATTATTAAGATTATTGGGGACATTAATATTGATGCTAAACTTAACAGATAAATGATCAGAATAGAGTTCATTTAAGGTACTAGTATTGATGAGGTAATTTAAATTTCTAGAGAGGGAGAAATCGATCGTATTAGCTGATAAGTTTGAGATCCTGGTATTGGTGGGGGGTAGTGTACATTTAATTTAGCTAAGTTGATGAAATTTAATAGAGAGGTGCCCAGGTGGTTGCTATCATAATTGTTCCATGTGCTGTGCTGTGTTTAGCGATGAAGTCACCAATCAAATCGTAAGAAATTAGATTTTCGAGGTCGCTGATAAAGGCGGCCGGGGTGTTAGGGGGAACATAGACACTAGAAATGACAACAGATTAGGATGGGGAGAAAAATAGCTCAAGGGTTGTTGCTTCAATATAACTGAAGTTAAGGTAATTAAGTAGTTTGTGATTAATATTCCTTTTGATGACGATGGCAGTTCCACCACAAGCTTGAGTATACCATCGATGGGACTTGGTGTAATAAGTTAGATAATTAGGTATTTTAAAAAAGTGAGCTAGTTTGGTTTCCTGGATTAGTAATAAGATAGAATCAAATTAACATGTCTTATATACTAATTAATTCGTATTTAATATTTATAGTGGTAGTTATGCCATAGTTGCCTAGCACCCAACCAGAGTTACACTTCCGTGTTAATGCAATTATTTCTCCATTCTCGTGATTGATGTGGCAACAATTTCCATCGTTTAACCTCAATTAGAAGCGTGATTTTTATTCAGCTATTTAAAAACGTCGAAAAGATAGGTATTTTTCCGTAGACGAAAAAGTCGACATTATGAAACTCATAATTAAAGGCGAAAATATGCAGCATATGTATAAGCAGTTTTTTCCGTGTACAAAAAAGTCGAAATTATAAAAACTCTTAAAGAAGAAAAAAATGGTCGCATAATATTTCAAACATTAATTTTTAATTTTTTTTAAACTTACAAATAATGAATGTATTATATTGTACTTATAGGTAAACACAATTGGAACATTCAATGTAATTCGACTGGCTGCTGGTCTTATGGGTAAAAATCAGCCTGATGAGGATGGACAAAAAGGTGTAATTATCAATACAGCAAGTATTGCTGCATTTGATGGTCAGTGTGGACAAGTAGCTTATTCAGCCAGTAAAGGTGGAATAGTGGGGATGACTCTACCTATATCTAGAGATATGGCATCCGATGGTATTCGTTGCTGTACTATAGCCCCTGGTGAATCTCATTACATCTTCTCTTCAATTCATATTCATTTCTGAGCTATTTTTGTTCATGGTAGAATAATTTTTAGATGTTCTAATAAGCCATTTGGGCAAATTAATTTTTGTAAAAATTCTCTGCTGAAATGATGAAAGCTCACTGACACCGAACCCCAATTTGAAAAAATTGTGAAAAAACCCAAAAAAAAAAGAAAAAAAGGAGGGATTGACTAAGTTATTACAAAAGCAAATAAAAGTATTTTTTTGCGATCCTATTCATTACGCAAAATAAAAAACGGAACACATTAATAACTTTTGATCAAAAGCCTAATCTTAAATAGGCTAATGCTAATTCATTTGAGTGGACTGATTGTTAAGACACGGTTCCCAGCAGATCACCGAAGTCAAGCATCACTGGTTACGGTCAGTGTGCGGGTGGGTGACACTTGAATCAGTCTGCGTAGGGACCGAGGGTGTGCGGTTTGGGTCCTCGTCAAATTGTTCTACCGTAAAGTGATCGACTTCGCGTGCAGGTCGTCGGGCTACCAAAGCGGGGGTGCCATCCCCACTGCAGAAGATCAAAATTGTGATGGCATGTCTTCGGATCATCCTCAGGGATGTTTCCCAGACCGTCGCCAATAGCCCATTGTGCAGCTCTAGTGCGACGTAAATGAGCTACTACTACTACTAATTCATTTAAGCAAAATATATTTTAAAATAGAAAATCAGACACAAAACGTACTTTCTCCGAATTAGTACACCTTTGTTTCGACAGACTTTGATTATTGATCCTTAAAATATATGGGGGAGGAGTGGGACTTGCAGCCGATATCCGGAAAACATTATAACAAAACAATTTGATCAGGAGAGTGGTAAAAAGTTAAGATCTATTAAAATGTTAATTTCATTTTTTGTGCAGTTTGTCATCTCATATTCTTTAATTTTTATTCTTTGAGAACTAGTTGATTGATCTCTTTACATTTTGGCTTTTGTTGCCGATAATTACGCAAATTTATACGGTGTTAGGGATCCTAGCTTCCGACGGTTGTTCTACCCAAATTATATTTTCCAGATTGACCCTCCACATTTCGTGAATCACGATTTCAATTTTATTGGAAATAAAGCATTTATATTCAGAGGAAATACGTTTTTATATCCGATTCCGTAAATTTGAAATATCGCACTAATTAATTGGTATATTTAAGATTAACCCTTCTAACGATTAATACTAATGCGTGATAATTCGATCGTTACATTAAAAATGTATTTAGATGTTTCATTTTTACTTTGATCTGTTAAATCCCTACACCCGTTAAATTTAGCAAATATTATTTTTTGAGATACATTATAGAACGGTTGACTATCACCCGAATCAAAGTTTTGGCACACCTTTATTTTTAGAAAAAAATTAAGATATCCAAAACTTTGATCAAAACTTTTTCGAGAAAGGATTAACGGACTACATTCCTTTCTACACATTCAACGCCTTCTGATACATTTGCCCTTCAGCAACAGCGGATTTTCTAGTTTCGTTATTAAATTATATTTTATTGGCAATTTCGGGTCTTCTTTTTCAAACCTGTTTTGTTTTCTTCATTCACGTTTGGTGAGTCTTGAGAATGGGCACCTATGTTGAGCACTCGAAACATATTAAGTTTTTTTTTCTCACCTTCGCAATTTATGAAGCATAAACATAATTAAGTTCGTTTCATACTTGTTAAACCACTTTTCCTTAAGCAACAAGAAGATAAGGTATATTTCTTTAATTACAATGCACGGTTGCAGTTGCTAATGTGATATTGACGAAAATCAGAGTATTCTTCGACTCAAAAAAAAAAAAAAAAAANAAAAAAAACAAAAAAAAAAAAAAAAAAAAAAGAGAAAAGGAAATAATAATAATTAATTTTAATTTTAAATTTTCTTACTGGTTATCAAACAAATATTCACAGACTTTTAATTAAAGCAGAGTAGTTTCTTTAACCCAGTAAAAATGAGAAAACAAAACATATTCAAAATTTATGCTAAGCCCGTACTTTCTGGTGATGGAAATTAATTCCCAAGTAGCACAATTCACAAAAACGATATCGTAAAAACTTAGCTTTGTACATTGTACAATATCGTAGCGAAACATTGTACTATATAAAAATGGACCCCTTTTTTAACGTATATTCAATATCGCGAAACAATATTATTCGATATTGTAGAAACGTTGGGGAACGTCGATCGATATCTCTCAGCATTTCGGATATCTCTAAATTTATATTTAAAATTTATTTTTTGGAATTATAACAATTTGACGTCATTTTTTCGTCTTTTAAATGATTAATTTTGATTTAAAAACACAATAAAGTTTAAAATGAAAAGTTTTACAAACATATTTTTAATGTGAAATAGACGGGAATCGTACAATATCGTACACACAATGTCGATTTTCGCCAATATTGACGATGTCGGTCGATGTAGACTAAAGCTGTTACAATATCCCTGTGCTACTTGGGTTGCTATTGCAAACAAAACCGAGATTCCAAAACTTTGGATATTATATAGAGGTTGTGGTAGTCATGCTCGAAAACAGGATGGGGAATTTGAAAAGGGTTATGTTCTTTAAACATATATTATAACACAGTTTAAGCTGACGGACTCGAGCATTTTCTAACCGAAATTTATGTTGGTTTTCTTATTTATTAGGTCCATTTTCCACCTCGATAATGATGGGTTTGCCAGATAAAGTTCAGGCCCAATTAGTGAATGAAATTCCTTTTCCCAAAAGATACGGTTATCCTGATGAATATGCACATTTGGTTCAAAGCATTATAGAGAATCCAATGCTGAATGGTTGCACTATTCGTATCGACGGTGCACTCCGTATGCGGCCATAACTCAGTGACAAACATCGATGCATTATATTTTATAACTTTGAAATAGCATTATGTTTTAAAGTTGTAAATCAATTATTGAATGGATGTAGTCATTGTATAGCAGCTGTGTGTATTGGTGTTTGGTGTTCCGCAAATAAATTTCAATGTTGGTGAATACATTTAAGTGTGTGTTATGTTGTTATTTCTATAAAAAATAGTTAAATATTATTCTCGGACAAGATCGACATGGTATTTATATTTATTTATTTTTCTGACTAGTTGTTGTTGTAGTTCATTAACGTTGCACTAGAGCTGCACTATAGGCTATTGGCGACGGTCTGGGAAACATCCCTGAGGATGATCCGAAGACAAGCCATCACAATTTTGATCCTCTGCAGAAGGGAATTTTTTTAAACTAACTAACTAAGGATCTTCGTCCCATGCTTTATGACACTCGTCAGTTTACGAAGTTCTATTGAAAAAAATTTTTTAATGTAAACTTTAAAGATTAGTGGTTTTAAAATTAATTCTAAATTTTGAATAAAGCTGAGATCCTTTGACTTTTCCAAAGTGTGTTGCAGTCAAAAATTATATTCAACTGCTGTTAGTTTTTTTTGATAATACTGTTAATAGTTTCAAATACACTGAAGAGCCAAAAAAACTGGTATACCTGCCTAATATCGTGTAGGGTACCCGCGNCAGGTCATAAAACTATGAGAACAAGATGCGTCATTTATCATACTTTCGAAAATTAATCCTAAATTTTTTGAAGGAGATTTTATGTTGTTTTTTATTTTCTGGGGCGAAATTAAATTGTTTTAAGTTAACTGTTAATCAGGTTTGTTTTGATTACATCAGTTCGACCCTAGTAATCAATGGTACACGCACTTCGATCGTCGTCGACGGAGAACCTGATTGGTGAAATATTCCCATGAAAACTCGAATTCGATATTTTTTGTTTGCAGTGCAGTACATGAACCGCATTTCTGAGGGCCTCCATGAATATTACATATAATTTCCTTTTGTGTTTTTCTTTAAGAATTGTCTATTAGAACTGTCAATCAGAATTATGAGTTAACGAAAAAATAAAATAAATCTAAGCTAAAATTTACTAATATACTTATGTTAAATTAATTTAAAAAATTGTTTCATATGTTATAAGTAATTTAAAAACACTTCGTAATCAAACAACATATAAATTTGGTATACAGTTACATCCAGGGGGCCCCTAACAGTTCTGCACCTAGGGCCCCAGCATTTCTAGATTAGGCTCTGAATAGAGCATAAGCAGTAGGCATAAGTATGCATTGTATTTTATTGCGCTTATTTAGATATAGAGATTCCATAGTTTAATATTTTGAACTGGAAGTTATGTTTTCACAACTGAAAATAAAGTATTAATGTAAAGTAAAAAACTAAAATAAAGTATTGACGAACGAAACATCTGCAGGTGGAGCAGAGCAGAACTCTCTATCTATGGAAACACTTTGCATGCTTCCATTAAAAGCCTGTGGTCAGTCATAGCAGACGTAAGTAAATTACTTTCTTTCTTGATTTTCTAAAAATGGATTAAAAACTTTTAAGTTAGGATATTATATGGAACTCAAAAGTGTATAAAACATAGTTCTTAAAGAAAGCGTCATGGAAATGTTAGAAAATATTTTTGACAATTAAATGTGAAAAATGTTATGGAAGGAGAAAATAACATAGATTCAACTGAGAAGGGGAGAGGAAAAAGGGGTAGGTCAAAACATGGAACTAATGTTATCTCCAGATGATGTGCTTAAGCGCTGCGATCGTAAATTTCTGATTGTTGTTGCTGAGCTGTTGACATTTCTTAAGTTTATGAAGTTCAATCGGATATTAATAAGAACAAAAGTAGTAAGGCGGAAGCGTTTAAAAATATTTTTGTGATTTATTATGCAATAATAAAAATATATTTTGATAATCTGTGATTAAACATCAATTATATTTTATATTATGTCAGGTTCTATTAGAGTGATCAAGGTGAGTAAATATTAAACAAGACATCTGTTTAAGGTGTATTTATTTTTTCCTTCCATTTATTGTGTATAAATGAACGAAGGCATGAAAGGATGGCTTTTGCAATATTAGACCTACCAACCCGGAAGTTTTACCCCTTAATATTTTAAGTGGTTAGTGAAGAAACATAAGAAATCAATTGTTTTTATACTTTTTCCAGCACTTATAAACATCTCTGCTCCCTTCTGCTATCTTTTATATAATTCATTTAATCTATATACAATCCATTCAATTACTTAAATATCGTGGTATTGTTATTTAATATCATTTTATTTATAATATTAAATCTTAAAATATGCGACCACTTTAAATATTAGAAATCTGAAACATGCTTGAAGATGACTAAAAAGTATTTATAGTCAAAGGCTGAAACGTTAATGCTATTGAATATTTAATAATTTCTTTTTTATTTATTGGCCCCTATCACTGATTGTACCAAGTTCTGCTAAAAGAAGGAATGAGCGAGGAATTTCTTATAAATTTCTTGAATGTTGTTCAATTAAATATGTCAGACTATTTTGAAAACTATGAACTTGTAAAATATGTGAAACTTGTTTCTAACTATGGTGAAAATTTCATTCCTTTCAAAAGCATTTAATAAATTTCCTTATTTCTAATTTCTCAATTGCTGTATAAAATATGTTATGTTAATTCTGGCTAAAATCATAAAAATATACAGATTAGAAATATAATTGAAGAAAATATAATTGAAGCCATAAAAATGCAATTTTTAACTACTAAATAAGCAATGGAAAGAGTGATAAGTAGTATGTAAAGTTTGTGACCTGTAAATCATGTGCTATAACAAGATAACAGACAATTTTTTTGGAAAACTATTTTTATGAATTATGTTCAGGGTATCCGCGCACCTGGAAAGTCATGAATTTCGGCATTGAACAAAATTTGTCATGAAATGTCATGATTTTAGCTATTTTTTTTTAAAAAATCATTTGAAGTCATGGATTTAGGTCGCCATAAAATCTAATTTTTAAAATGTTATCCCCTCCCCCCAATTTCATGGTGTTTCAAATATCTTAATTTCTAACAAAATCCCCACTGACAGGCGTATTTTATTAAAATATAAAATGTTTTTATCATGTTCTTTAAAAATTATGGTGTTCTTTCAAAAATTGAAAGAAAAAACATTTCTAGGGTGAATTATCTTTTAAACTTAGTGATTTCAGAATTTTTGTTATTATTTTATTTTATTTTATCAATTTCAAATTCTAACTGAAACAAGCCAGTCATTGGCAATTTTTTTTTAATTCTGAAATGAGAACAGAAAAAATCAGAAGTATTTCTTCCAATTCCGAAAGAACAAGAAAAGTAACCCTAGAATATATTGTAATACTGTAGAAAAAAAGTAAAAAATTATTTGCTTTTGTATTTTTTTCAGCTATTTTATTGCTTCAACTCTTTCTTATAAACATGAAGGTGCAGAGTATAACAGTTTTGGTTATACCTATCATTTCAGTTAATGTTGTTATAATGCTTTTCTAAATTTTTTGTTGTGTATTTGTCGAGGAAAATTTTAACTTAGTTAAGTCGTGAAAAATTCTTGGAATTTATCATGGAAAATCATGAAAAGTCATGAATTTGAAAATCTAAAATCTAGCAGATACCCTGTATGTTCAATTTTCAGTGAAGATATTATATTCAATAATTTTTTATTTCAATAGGGCTTGGTAGCTCTTGTAACTGGTGGAGCATCTGGTCTTGGAGAAGCCACTACACGTCGCCTGATTCAGAAAGGAGCATCAGTTGTGATTTGTGACTTACCCACATCAAATGGTCATAAAATTGCTGAAGAATTGGGAGAAAAGTGTGCTTTTGCTGCAATTGATGTAAGTATTAGCTAGTTAAATTTTTTTATACTTTTCATATTCAGGTAATTTATTGCTGATAACAATTACTCTGACCAGACTTGGTTAGGTTGAACCCAATTTTTTTTTCTTCAGAAAAATCTGATTTCAAAAATGGATAACTTTGAAGGGGACAGGCAGTAAATATATAGTTAAGAAAATTAGGATATTGAAAATTAACAGTTATAGTTAAAGGAGTTAACTTATATTGAAGAATAAGCATTTTCCCCGTGGCAGAATCGTGGCGACACGGCGACATTGTCACATAACGTTACTGAGTTTTTACAGAAGGATTTTTCCTTTGGGAAATAAAAATTTTTGCTTTTCTTTTCTGCAGAAATTTTCGAAAGATTTTATCTTTTATTCATAATTATATTCAAAAGATGCCTTTCTCGTGCATCGGAGTGGGAAAAAATTGTAATTTCTTGTAATTTTTCTATTCTCATTGGAGAATAATGTGTGTGTGAAAAATAAAGTATTATGAAGTAAAAAATTTGGTTTTCTTTTCTGTGGAAATTTTCGTTCTAATTTTTCATGCAGTTATTACTACTGATTTCCACAAAGCTTTTAAAATCCAATATTATTTATCACAACTAAATATTGAAATGGAAACACGGATTTAGTAATCCCCTTTTGAAGAGTCCGATTCGCATGATTTCGCTGTCTATCTTTTTAATTGGCAATTACTGCTACAGATTTGACGATTTTTTTTTCAGTTTGATGATGAATTATAAATGTGAAAAAGGAAATAATTAGTGTGTTATTTTTCCGCAAAATGCGAGAATATCGCCCATAATATCAGAATAAAAAAAATCACTTATTGAATTAAAAAAATTATTTTATTTGATCCAATTTTTATTTATTTAATTTAATTTTTTTTGCAGTTATACTTTTTTTGAAGTTTGTATATCTGTTATTGTTAAATATCTTGCAGAAAGATATTAGTATTAGAGAGGTATGTCGCAGGAACTCCGAAAAAATTATGCCACAGGGAGCACTTTCTGAATATTTGTTAAATTTGAGAAAGCAGTAAGACAATTTACTATTATTTCATTGTTGTCTTATCTTGTTGATGATATGAAAAGCCTCTCGTAAATTCTAGTAAATATAGGTCATACACTTATGAATAATATTGAGTTTAAAGATTCAAACCTCTGACAGTCAGGGCAAACAGCATTGAGCAACCGAGGAGTGATGATATTCTTGATTTCTGACCTAATTTTAATGTTCTTTAAAATAAAATGTAAGGTTGGGATGGCCTGATTGGTTGGATGTTGGACTCGTGTTTGTTAGAACATGAGATCAAATCCTGCCAGCGGAAGAATCCCCGTGTATTAAATGGTGACTGGTGCATGTTAAATCTGTTGTGGTCGCCAAGTCCTCAAAGATCCCATAACAAATTGATATATCTTGGGGCACTGAATTGGAGGTAGATCATTCTCTGGTACAGGTCAAAATTGAAATCTTTGGAGGAGTGAAGTATGATTGGTCCTTTCTGTTAAACCGGCTGTGATGTGTGTTTGGCTGAATTGCTATTCTCGGCCATAGATGGCACCACTAAAAAAAAGCATGAAATGCACCTTCTGCTTTAAAAATTCCCTTGATTCCCTGGCAGACTTGTTGATATTGGCAAGTGGCATAAGTAACAACATCAAAATTTAATTACATATTTTGTTTACCACATGTTTGAATGCATCTCCAAAACCCTAGAAAAAAAACCCTGTTCAGTTAGGTTTTTTTTTCCCATGAAAATTCATCACTACTGACAACAGCACATTATCAATTTTATAAGAAAGATCTTTTATCTTTATTTCTTTCGAAGATTTGAAGCTATTGCAAATATGAATAAATTGGTTCGTAATAAAATTTGAGTAAATTTTTTTTGCAGTTGATTTTTTTGGTCATAAAGTAGCATATTTCATCATAATTGGGAACATTACACATTCTTTGTATTGCAATTTTTTATTTCAATTTACTTTATTAACCATTTATTTAAAAAAGAATTTAATAGAAACATGTTAACTGACCTGTGACTGATTTCGCTTGCATTCTATAGCACATAAATGTGACAAAAATGGTAATGGGGATGTGTAAAGAAAGTTTTGAGGGTGTAATTCTTAGAAGATATAAAAATAATATTGACAGTCGAATTATGCTTTTGCTTTTTCTTAAGGAAAGGGTTGGATTAGTTCGAACTAAATTTCTTCATTTCAAATATATTTCTTCTGTTGATTTGAAATTCCTTGTTTTGTCTATAAATAGATAGAACCCTTAAAAATGTGCATAGTAATAGGTAAATGAAAAGATCGAGAATATATAATCTGTTCAACCTCACAGATTATTTTTTCCCAACTTAGAGACTACTTTTTCTCCTCTTTAATTTTTTTAGTTATTGAGAAATCCTTTGAAGTGCAATTTTTTTTTATTTATTTCACATATTGATAATTTAGAATGTGTTATATTATTTTCAATAGGAACTCACCTTTATTAAAAAAAGGCCTCAGAAAGTTGGAAATTCTGAGTCCTTAGGATCAATAATAATTCCCAATGTCTTGTTGAATCACTGAGTGAAAATGTTTAAGGACTAGTAACATCTTTTAGTTACTGGTCCTTTTGCTCTTTCTTAATTTCTACTATTATTGTTACTTATTTATCAACAATCACTGCCTTAAGAAATTGTTTGACATCAATGAATTGTATATTTTTAGGTGACAAAGGAGAGTGATGTTTTGGAAGCTTTAAACATAGCGAAAACCAGATTTCATAAATTAGATGTTGCCGTAAATTGTGCAGGGATAGGTGTTGCTAGTAAAACTTACAACTTTAAAAAAGGTGTTCCACATTCTTTAGAAGATTTTACCAAAGTTATTAGTGTAAGTATTTTTTTTTTTTTACTTTCTGAGAGTAGAAAATACTTTTATTTCAATAATTTTACTGTAATTATATCTAAATAAGATACACGAGAAAATGACGAATGCAGGTCAACATAAAATACTAAGTAACGATTTGAAAATGTATGAAAAGTAATAAAGGCGAAAATAATTGAATTTATAATAGGTATAAAAAGTTGTAATTGAAAAATTATGTACTTATTGCATAAATATTTATGATGCAAAATGAAGATGAATAAACACCTTTATTTATTTAAAATAATCAAAAATTTTGCATTTCTTCAGCTTTCTGCAATCTTTTTAAAATCCACAGCACCAGTTTAAACTTTTTCATCAATTGATGCATGAACGTCAAGCATGTCTTTTGAGGAGTTTTCCCCAAACTGTAACTAATCTTCATTCTCACTTGCGTCATTAGCATGATAGCAAGAGGAGTTACTGTTTTTATCTTCCTCAAAGTAAAATACTGAAAAAATTTTTTTTTTTAATGTCGGTAGAAATTCCTAACAATGTATGCAGGAATCTGCTAGTTTCAAAAAAGACCTAAACAAGTATTCCTAACAATACAAGATAACAACAGTGACGGGACGATTGAAACAAGTTGATACGTACCGGGCAATGAAAGCTGTGGGAACAATAGGTAAAGGTTATACTGTATTTTGTTTAACTGTTAAGAATGGTTTCTTAGTTCTTGTTAAATTATCAACAAAGAAGTTTAAATGTCACCTTTATTGAGAATTTCTATGTTTATGAAATCTTATCACAATTTGTTTTTGTTTGCAGTTACCTTTAAGTGTTTCTCTTATGCCCTTTTCTATGATTGAAGTTTTATTTTAGTTGATGCAATTTAATCTGTACTGTACTGTATATTTTTGTAGATTTTATTACATGGCCATAGAAATTTGACTTACTCATGCTCATCTTAATTATACTCGTAAAAAGATTTTCAAATTCACATGTAAAAATGGTATTAATATTATGAGTATACCACACAATAATTTAAGGAACGTATTTGTTTAGAAATTTTCGATAATTATTTGAGTAATGAGGTAAGATTGGATAAATTTATGTAATATAAACATTTTTTAAAATTGTGTTTTTAATGGTATTTATTTTTATTGACAAGTTCAAGGTATCTCAACAGGGAAATTGTTATTCAAGTGCACTTGCTAATATTTTCTTACATTTTTATGAACAAAAATTTTTACAACATAATTTATTAATTGGGTTTAGATATATTGATGATTTAATTATTTTTGATTGTAATGATTTAGATTTAATTAAAGATATTTATCCTAAAGAACTAAATTTAATAAAGACTAATTCAGATGAAAATTGCGCTTATTGTTTAGATCTTAAAAATTAACCTTCATAACCAAAAAATTTTAATCGGATCATACGATAAAAGAAGAGATTTTAAGTTTAATTTAATAGTTCACATTTTAATTCCAACCTATACTTTAAGACTTTTAAGAATATTTTGATTGGTCAAATTATTAGTTTTAAATTTATTTGTAATAATAAAATAGATTTTCTTCCAGCTGTCGGAAAATTTCTGGATTACATTAGAGAATAATAATTTTCCTTTTAATTACTGTAATTATGATATTTTAATTCAAAATATTTTAAAGATGCTCAAGTAATTCAGCCGATATTGAAGCCTGCATAAATAGGCCTATGCTGTGAAATTTAGGATTTTTTGTTCCTGAAGCATATAGATGGCTGCAATTTTTTAGAAATTTTTACTCATTGAATGTTTTTTTTTTCAATATTTTCAAAAGGGATCAGCACTTGATTTATTTCTAATGTTTTCTTAATGATTTGGCAATTTATATTTCATTTTTCATTTGGTTATTCTAACTGTAACTTTATCTTTATCTTTATTTTTCTTATATGTGGACGTATCATTATTTTGTCTTACTCTCTGAGTATTTTAAAATTGTGTTTGTTATTAATTTTTCTTAACATTTACATTTAAATTTTTCTAATTGCTTTTTCTTATTTGTTTATCCATTATGGGACCTCGGGGCTCGAGCTTTCAATATTGAATAAGTATGTATGTTCTGATAGTGCTTGGAATATAAAAGCATTGTGCACATTTTCTGGGGAAAGGAGACAGCTAGTTTTAAAAACTGTTTTTGAAACCAATTTTCCATTTCTCACTGGACAGCATTTTTTTTTTGTTTGCAATAAATTCTTTTGGAAAATGTTTTTACATTTCTCCAATCTTTGANTTAGTTGATGCAATTTAATCTGTACTGTACTGTTTATTTTTGTAAATTTTATAGCATGGCCATAGAAATTTAACTTACTCATGCTCATCTTAATTATATTCGTAAAAAGATTTTCAAACTCACATGCAAGAATATTATTAATATTATGAGTATACCACACAATATTTTGAGGAATGTATTTGTTTAGAAATTTTCAATAATTATTTGAGTAATGAGGACATTAATAAGGAAGATTGGATAAATTTATGTAATAAAAATTTTTTTGAAAATTATGTTTTTAATGGTATTTATTTTTATTGACAAGTTCAAGGTATCTCAACGGGGAAATTGTTATTCAAGTGCACTTGCTAATATTTTCTTACATTTTTATAAAGAAAAACTTTTACAACTTAATTTATTAATTGGTTATAGATATATTGATGATTTAATTATTTTTGATTGTAATGATTTTGATTTAATTAAAGATATTTATCCTAAGGAACTAAATTGAATAAAGACTAATTCGGATGAAAATTGCACTTATTGTTTAGATCTTGATATTAACCTTCATAACCAAAAAATTTTAATCTGTACATACGATAAAAGAAGAGATTTTAAGTTTAATTTTATTAATTCACATTTTAATTCCAACCTATACTTTAAGATTTTTAAGAATATTTTGATTGGTCAAATTATTAAATTTAAATTTATTTGTAATAATAAAATAGATTTTCTTTCAGGTATCTGAAAATTTCTGGATTACATTAGAGAATAATAATTTTCCTTTTAATTACTGTAATTTATCCTTTTAATTACAGCAAAATTGAAGCCTGCATAAATAGGCCTATGCAGTGAAATATAGGATTTTTTGTTCCTGAAGCATATAGATGACTGCAATTTTTTAGAAATTTTTACTCATTGAATGTTTTTTTGTTTTATTTTTCAATATTTTCAAAAGGGATCAGCACTTGATTTATTTCTAATGTTTTCTTAATGATTTGGCAATTTATATTTTATTATTCATTTGGTTATTCTAACTGTAACTTTATCTTTATTTATTTTTCTTATATGTGGGCGTATCATTATTTTGTCTTACTCTGTGAACTTTAAAATTGTGTTTGTTTGTTATTAATTTTTCTTTGCATTTACATTTAAATTTTTCTAATTGCTTTTTCTTATTTGTTTGTCCATGATGGGACCTCGGGGCATAAGCTTTCATTATTGAGTAAGTATGTATGTTCTGATAGTACTTGGAATATAAAAGCATTGTGCAATTTGCATTGTACGCATTTTCTGGTGAAAATGAGACAGCTAGTTTTAAAAGCTGTTCTTGTAACCAATTTTCCATTTCTCATTGGACAGCATTTTTTTTTTTTTTTTTTGCAATAAATTCATTTGAAAAATGTTTTTACATTTCTCCAACCTATGAACCAACCCTTAGTTGCAGCAAGGTTTTTTTTTTTTAGCCCATTTAAGTAGCTAACTTTTTTGCTTTTTATTTTTGCATTAGTGGCCCGTTAACTGAAGCCTCACTTTCTTGAACATGGGCTTTTATAACTAGTTTTTACTTTACCACTTTTACTTCATTTGCACTTTCCTTCATTTAATTTTGTTTTACTTTTCTTATGAGATCATCACTGTTTTTCTATATTTTTCAAATTAACGTTTGATATATGTATAACTGTGTTGCAACATTGCATTAACTTATTTTTGGTGTTCTGTTATAACAATTTTATATGTTGATCTTCAGTTTTAATGTTAAATTGGTTTGCTTTCTGCTATCCTCAAACTTTATGTAAGCAAGCAGGGCATAAAATATCGACAGGTTCATTAGTGACTTTTTTTTTAAAAGAAAAGAACAGGTTCTATCTGAATACCTAGTGAATATTCTTGGAAACGTGGTAATTATAAACGATGCAGTGATCAGAAAGCGATAATTTTAACATGCAAATGGATAGAGAAAATCCGGACTGAGTGATTTTGATAATAATAAGTGATTTATAACATCACAATTTAAATCCTTTCTTCACACTTTTCATTTGCATTTTATGCTTTGTCTTGTTGTAGGTGAATACGATTGGAACATTTAACGTGACTCGTCTGGCTGTAGGACTGATGTCTAAAAATCAGCCAGATGAAGATGGCCAAAAAGGTGTTATTATCAATACAGCCAGTGTTGCTGCCTATGATGGTCAGCGGGGACAAATAGCTTATTCGGCCAGTAAAGGTGGAATAGTGGGTATGACTCTCCCTTTAGCTAGAGACCTAGAATGTGAAGGCATTCGCTGTTGTACTATTGCTCCAGGTAATTTTTATTACTTTTTTAAAAAAATTTCATAAAATATTTTTGTAAGTTATGAAGAATGTTATTTTTTAAACATGTTGTAGCACTTGCTGCTCAAAATTTGTGAACTATTTGTTATTTTTATACTTTTTTAGAACTTCTGAAAAATTTAATTTTATAATCACTATATTTATTGCACTATTTTTTCATTATTGCACTATTTTTTCAGGTTAATTTTTACAATTTTGGTGAGTTTCTAGTACATTATTATAATTTCTAAATCATTTTAATTTAATAATGCACTTAATAATGCTGATTATTGTTCTTGTTACAAATATATATATATATATATAGATTTTGGTTCAATTTTTTGTGATTTTTTAACCATTTTTTTAGGGTAAGTAGTAGATTTTGTTTCTATTTAGAATCTTCTTGAGATAGAAAAAGAGTTCTTTAATGTTAATCTGTAGAGAATTATCTAAGCACAATTCTCTTACCTATTATTTAAGTAATTAATATTTTGGGACAGATTTTGTTACAACTTTTATTCATTGAAATGTGTTTCTAAAAAAAATACTTACATTCTTAAAATTCATATTTCAGTTACTGTCTATAATGAAACTTATTTCTATTATAAAGTAAAACAAAAATTATTTCAAAATATTTCAGATGATAATGATAAATGCATTTTTTACATATTTGGTTTTATATTGGGATTTGATATTTTCTTCAAAGTACATTGTTAATAGTTTTTTTTTGTTGTTGATAATTTTAAAAGCATTTTTTTTTATTGTATTAACAGCCTGTCCCTTGTTGATAAGTAATTAAATTTAATTCTTATAATTTTCTGTGTCTTTACATGGCAAAAGTAGAATCTCTTTCCTGCTTGCAGAGAATTGTTAAAAATAATTAATTTTGAAGTATGAAATTAAATATTTTTATTGCAATTCTAATTTTGTTACTTATTTTTTGAACATTCTTACCATAGATTTCTGTCTTAAAATTTCAAGTGTTCATTTTTTTAATAAAATAGCAATAAATAATCATTTAACAAGAGGTCAAATATCGATTGCTCATATCTTATTATTAATATTCAGTTTTGTTTAAAAATGAAAATGCAGTATAATTTCGACCTATTATTTTACAAGTGAAATATAGTACTATTCTTCTAAAGGGAAAAGAAAAAACATACTGAAGAGAAATTTTAAATAGTGTGTTTACATTTAAAAATTAATCAGCTTAAAAATTACCCAAAGAAAATTTTTTTTCTCTTAATATCCTTCCTAAAATCTGTGTATATGATCGTTTAAAATAGTATTTCATGTCATTTTTATGTGAAGTTACTGAGAGAAAAAAATTATAAAAATAGTAATAAAATAATTCCAAAGAAAATGTTAAATATTCATTATAGCCAAGCAAAAATTAATTTTTTTTTATATAATCAGCAGATATATTGAAAAAACATTCTGATGCAAAGAAATTGCTATAGTTTTCTACTAAACTGACAGAACCTTACTTTTTGAAACTTATTTTACTATTTTTGTGAGAGAAAAAAATCAAATTTTCAAAGCTTATAGGATAAGTAGGAATGGAAATATAGGGATTCTTGATTATTATTTTAATATCGTTTTATTTTGATCGATTTCATTGTTATCTGTATGATTAATGAATCATAGATTAAGACTGCATACAACATATACATACATCTACAACACCTACAGTAAATATATGCCACAGTTTCAAGTGTTCAGGACATTTTTAGTGATAAACTTTCTGTTTTTGTGTATAACCTAATTTATAGTCTGTGTTTATAACTACAAACGAACTCAAATTGTCGCTTTGAAACTAAACCGTGGTAACTCAAAAAAAAGCAAGTTTCTCAGGAGAACGATTTTTAACTTTTCAGTAACTTCCACCGCAGGTTGACTCGAAGCTATGGCGACTATTGCAAAATAATTTACATTAAAAAAGCCCCGTTTCTTTACATTTTTCAATGAACCAGGCCTGATTCTTGTACCATTTCTAATTTTGTGGTAATTTCGAAGTAAGTTAAGGTACTTTAGAGTTGCAACACTTTTCTCTAAAACTTTTATAAAAAGTGGAGGGTTATTTCAAAATACAACGATGTTCTTCAAAATATCCTCCCAAATATTACATATTTCATTTCAAATTTTGACATACAACAGTGTAGGGAAAAAATCACTCTCCTGAAAAGCTTGCTTTTTTGAGTTACCACGGTTTAGTTTCAAAGTGACGTTATCTCCTCCAAGGTTTTGTTGCAACTGGTACACTGCTACACTATTCCCTGAAACCAAGATGGCGAATCGCGCCAATGTGATAACGATTTATCTGCTCTCTAAATTAATTATATGGAACTATGAAGGTAACACGTTGTTTCTGTAAAAGGGTGATTTTTTTTACACAAAATGGCCCAAACATCTAATTTTTCGATTTTTTTGAGACGAAATGTGTAACACACTAGAGAAAATTGCTCCCAATTATTGACCTTTCTTCTGGAACCCAATCCGTTACTGCTACCCACATTTTATGTAAGCATAGGTATTTTTTATTTATATTTTCAGAAGTTGACACAGATGATTTCTAAATATAAAACTAGCTTCCTGTCCGCTAAGTTTGTGGGAAGCCTATTTCCTACAGCCTTATAAAGGGTTGAACTAAGCATGTAAATGTAAAGATTTTCATTCTTAAAATCAATCCTGGTAAAAAATAAATTCAGTTTTAATTATCTATTATTTTGCTTAAACATATGTCATTTATAGGTTTGTTTGACACGCCTCTGCTAAGGGGTCTTCCGGAAAAAGTACGGCAGGAGTTAGCTAAGGATGTTCCTTTCCCTAAAAGACTTGGTAATCCTGATGAATATGCCCACTTAGTGCAATCTATGATTGAGAATCCAATGTTGAATGGTTGTGTCATTAGATTGGATGGTGCTCTACGCATGCAGCCTTAATGTATACAACTTAGCATTAAACAATGTTTTGAATTAATTTGTAATAAATCAAATATTCTGAGAATGTTATGATATCTCTACCACTATGCNTTAATCTACAGCAAATATATGCCACAGTTTCAAGTGTTCAGGACGTTTTTAGTGATAAACTTTCTGTTTTTGTATATAACCTAATTTATAGTCTGTGTTTATAACTACAAACGAACTCAAATCGTCGCTTTGAAACTAAACCGTGGTAACTAAAAAAAAGCAAGTTTCTCAGGAGAACGATATTTAACTTTTCAGTAACTTCCACCGCAGGTTGACTCGTAGCTATGGCGACTATTGCAAAATAATTTACATTAAAAAAGCCCTGTTTCTTTACATTTTTCAATGAACCAGGCCTGATTCTTGTACCATTTCTAATTTTGTGGTAATTTCGAAGGGTTATTTCAAAATACAACGATGTTCTTCAAAATATCCTCCCAAATATTACATATTTCATTTCAAATTTTGACATACAACAGTGTAGGAAAAAAATCGCTCTCCTGAAAAGCTTGCTTTTTTGAGTTACCACGGTTTAGTTTCAAAGTGAGGTTATCTCCTCCAAGGTTTTGTTGCAACTGGTACACTGCTACACTATTCCCTAAAACCAAGATGGCGAATCGCGCCAATGTGATAACGATTTATCTGCTCTCTAAATTAATTATATGGAACTGTGAAGGTAACACGTTGTTTCTGTAAAAGGGTGATTTTTTTTACACAAAATGACCCAAACATCTCATTTTTCGATTTTTTTGAGTTACTACGGTTTAGTTTAAAAGCGACGAAATGTGTAACACACTAGAGAAAATTACTCCCAATTATTGACCTTTCTTCTGGAACCCAATCCGTTACTGCTACCCACATTTTATGTAAACAAAGGTATTTTTTATTTATATTTTCAGAAGTTGACACAGATGATTTCTAAATATAAAACTAGCTTCCTGTCCGCTAAGTTTGTGGGAAGCCTATTTCCTACAGCCTTATAAAGGGTTGAACTAAGCATGTAAATGTAAAGATTTTCATTCTTAAAATCAATCCTGGTAAAAAATAAATTCAGTTTTAATTATCTATTATTTTGCTTAAACATATGTCATTTATAGGTTTGTTTGACACGCCTCTGCTAAGGGGTCTTCCGGAAAAAGTACGGCAGGAGTTAGCTAAGGATGTTCCTTTCCCTAAAAGACTTGGTAATCCTGATGAATATGCCCACTTAGTGCAATCTATGATTGAGAATCCAATGTTGAATGGTTGTGTCATTAGATTGGATGGTGCTCTACGCATGCAGCCTTAATGTATACAACTTAGCATTAAACAATGTTTTGAATTAATTTGTAATAAATCAAATATTCTGAGAATGTTATGATATCTCTACCACTATGCCGTTTTTTCAGCTAATTGTTGGTTTTTTATTTTTGATAATAAAAATTATATAGCATTACATTGTATTTTTCTTTTAGTTTTATATGCTGTTTGTTTTGGTCAAATAAGAAACTGTTACGAAAATAAATATTCCTGTGTCCTTTAATCCGTAGTCAACCTGTTTTGATGCATTTATGTAAATTTGTAACCAAATGCCCACGTCAACTGAAACAAGTAATAGTCAGGAATTGGGTTATGCAATAGTTTTCAAAGCATTCTATAAAAAATTATAAAGTAATAGCCAATTTATTTTAATTTACGAAAGATTTAGTATCATTTAAAGTTAACAAAATACATTGTTTTTAGATTCTACTTTATTTTAAAGTTAACATCGTTTGTAATTTTTAGAACTAAATATAATAGCACAAATGTTTAAAATGCTGTTGTAAAAATATCACGTTTCATCCAAAACTAAGCAAAAAATATGAGTCTCCGGTCATCATTTAATTTTTAATACGACATTGCAGCCCTGGTTATGGCACAAAGCATTTTTTTATTTATTTATGACTATTTGACAGAACATCGAAAATATTTAAAATAAATATGGAAAGTGATTAATCATCGAATGAGCTGAAAGAGTAAACATGAATTGAGTTTCAAGTTAAATAGTTTTTTAAAGTCTCTTACAATTATTTCTAGTAAAAATTCCACTACCATGCAGAGTTTTCTTCGTGTAGTAATATTTTGTCTCTCATAAAATCTAAGTTGCAATGACATGGTGCATTAACCCATTTTAGGCCAAAGATGTGTTAACTCGCCATTTCAATAAGTATTTTTGTTATTAACACTGTGAAGTTTATTTTCCAGAATTTTATTTTTTCTGCTGCTATGGCTTTTGAAGCTATCTATAAAATATTGGTGATTCAATTGGATTAAACACTTTCTGTTGGGAAATTCTCAAAATACAAGTTTTTTTTTTAGTTGGAAATGGTTCTCGACAAATTCGACGCTTTGGAAACGGATAATTATCCCAATCGGGATTAATCATGCGTGTTTATGATGAATAAAAGTTGCAAGTTCTGTAAATAAAAAAAAATGTCACAGCAAACTATTGTTTAGCTAAATGGTTTGTCTATTGATTTGGTCAATGATGCATATACTCTGTATTTTATTTTTAAATGAATTATTATTTTTTATACACGGAACTTTTTGCATCTTAATGAAAATAATTCCATTTTATAAAATTTCTGTGCTTGACTTTAAATGGATTAAAGAAGTTTTCCCTCATTAACCAGGGTTCTATTTGTTGCTTTAAATCGATAGCTAGCAGCTTCTCTAGGGTGCTGTCGATCATGAAATTGTGGAGTACCCCCATGACCCCATTGTTCTTTAGTGAGAGTGCTTTTACAAAATCTAATATCTGATATGTTGAACAAATCATGTCTTATTTTTCTCATGAAATAATGCTGTACATCAATGTTTTTAAGTGCAGTATTGCTAAAGAGAAGGAAAAAAAAAGTGATTTCTAAATATCTTTAGGATGGTTTTTATTATATTAATAATTTTTTGTTTTGTTTGCAATCCTATCTTTTGTTAGAGCAAAATTTTTAGCTCAAAAAATTGCATATCTTTATAAGTGAAAACTATTAAGAGCGGTATTTAAGAATATTCCTTTGAATAATATAAATTAACCATTAGAATTTTGTAAAAAATGTTCTGTTTTAAGAAATATAAGCATAATAAATATTTTAAGTATTCTTGAACTAAAGAAACAGTTTATGTGCAAATGAATTATTTGATTTCAATAAACATAAGGGGTCAGGGAGTAAAAAGTAGCAGCCTTCATTTCTAAGTAGTTCAGATGAACATATCTATGTTTTTATAAAATATACTTTTAAACAATTATTTAAAATTAGAAATCTCAATGCAAAACTTTTATAGACCAGAATGAAGAATTTTGTTGGATATAATAATTTGCAGCTGGGAAGGGAAATTTTTAGTACTCAAAAATGATTTTTACTTTTCTTTAGAAAGCTCCAAACGTTCTAAAAGAGGTGCGACGCTAATCTCTCTTTTTTTTGTTGTTGTTATGAATCGCTTGCTTTTCCATAATAATTGCTAACAATGAAATAATTGGGTTTCCCGTCATCGGCTAAGTGGTCATGAGGTTAAAATTACAATAGGGAGCAAGTGCACATTTACTTGTTTCTCATAATATAGTTGCGAGTTAATTTCTGGTTCTGTTATTTTTGTTTCTAAAATCAAATGAATTTAAAACTTGTCAAACTGGTCTTATTCGACAATTACCCGTCAACATTTGAATGCTTTATCATGGCCATGAATATTGCATCAAGATATAGAAATAATATTTCATTAGATGCTATGAAATTGTTTTTATTTTTGTAGTATTTTTTTTAAATGTAAAACTTTGAATCGCCAGGCGTCAAAAAGAACTTTTAATGGAAGTTAATAGTGCTTTAACGCTTAAATTACGAAATCTCTTGGTAAACAGATGTTTCAAAGTTTAATTCTAGATCAGGCGATGAATTCAAGATCTGTTGTAAAAATTTTCTCTATAAAATCTGGGAACACCTATTTTTTATTAACTATTTACTACATTCCTTAATTACTACATTTTATTAAACACGTTTGAAAGTCCGGTTTGTTATTTTCCCCATTTGTCAATGTGATTCAAAATGTCTCAAAGTGTTTTATTTATAATATTGACCGACCACGGTGTCCTATCAAAAATGAAAGAGTATTAGTCAATTTATGTATAAAAATTACGTTATATATATAGAGAGAGAGAAATAACTGGTAGAGCAAAATTTCTTAAGGAGCATTCGAAAACTTATTGCTGCCAATGTAATAATCGGAAAACAGAAATCTCTGGCAGAATGACTATAACAAAAATATTTATGCTTTTTTTTTTAAATAATTAGAAAAAGATAAAGCTCTGAATTTTCAAAAGTTCTTTTAGAAATTTGCTACCAGTTGTTTAGTTTTCTCACGTGATGCTGTTCAGCTTAATATTATTTCATTACCAACGATATATATTTAAATCGAAAATAATCACATCTTTAATTTTTACATCTGAACTGAAAGAAACAAAGTACGCTAGTTTTAATCTCCTTTGATTGTTTTGGTTACAATCTTTATTATTTTTAGGTGCGCGTTACATCTCTATTACAGAAATATTACGTTAAAATTAATTTGATTTTTTTTTATTATTTAGCACCTAAAATTTCAAATATTGCAGAAAACTTTATTTAAGATCAACAGAGAGATTTTTAATAAATTTTCAGACATGGAAATCCAGTCTGCTTCCCTTAGATAAATAAATGTTATAATATTCCTACTACTTTTTATATGGCTAACCAACTCGATTCGAATGAGTTAATTACATTAATTTTCTTTCCAGAATGTGTCGAAATTGCCTCATGCAAGTTTAAATTATTATAATTAGCTCGCTATATATGTGTCAATAGAACTAGCTCTGGAATAATGTCCTAATTAACAAATAAAAATGAATATTTAATTTAAAGGAAATATGTATGGGTCTAAAAAAAAGTAGCACTGGACTAATTTCCTAATTAAGAAATAGAAATGAATATTTAATTTAAAGGAAATATATCTGTGTCAAAAGAACTCGCTCTGGAATAATTTCCTAATTTACAAATAAAAATGTATATTTAATTTAAAGAAAATATATATGGGTCTAAAAAGGAAGCTCTGGAATAAATTCCTAATTAAAAAATAAAAATGACTATTTAATTAAGGAAATATGTATGGGTCTAAAAAAGTAGCACTGGATTAATTTCCTATTTAAGAAATAAAAATGTATATTTAATTTAAAGGAAATATATATGGGTCTAAAAGGAAGCTCTGGAATAATTTCCTAATTAAGAAATAAAAATGAATAATTTAAAGGAAATATATAGGGGTCTAAAAAAGTAGCACTGGAATAATTTCCTAATTAAGAAATAACAATGAATATTTAATTTAAAGGAAATATATATGTGTCAAAAGAACTAGTTCTGGAATAATTTCCTAATTAGGAAATAAAAATGAATATTTAATTTAAAAGAAATATATATGGGTCTAAGAAAGTAGCACTGGACTAATTTCCTAATTAAGAAATAAAAATGAATATTTAATTTAAGGGAAATGTATATGGGTCTAAAAAAGAAGCTCTGGACAAATTTTCTCATTAAGAAATAAAAATGAATATTTAATTTAAAAGAAATATATATGGGTCTAAAGAAGATTTATGATTAGACACATTTTTGGAAAAAAGATGAAATGGTATAATAGCAGAGCAAGAAGTTCATAAAAAAATTCACAATTCTGACTTTTTTTAAATTTTATCACTCTAAAAATATTTGATCAATTTTGTTATTAATATCAGTATATTGTCATATGAAATTACATTGCTTAAAATGGTTTGGAATACTTTACATTTCAAATTATTGATAAATATAATTATAAAAATGTATACATAAAAAAATATTATTTCTTTAAATTTAGCTACTACACGTACTCTTTCAGGATTGCGTGGAGGATTTTTTCAACACACAGCAACCAGGACAAGCCTTGGCCTATCCTGGACTGTCCTGCCAAATATGAGATTACGGACTAAAGGAATAGCTATCGAATTAATAGAACTCATGTACACATGTTTGAATTATTGATTTGACATCGTGGATAAAACCAGGAACAAATCAAGACAAATTCTGGCCCAAGGCACACAAAATTTTCAGGGCCCCAAGCAAAATATTTTGAAATTAAATTACTGAAGAGTAGTCCGAACAATAAAATAAATCTATTGAACGGCATGATTCAAGAGAAACATTCTAAAAAATTTTGAAAGCAGACAGTTGAATATTATTTTTCCAAGATAAAGTTTTTGCATCTAAATACTAAAGCAAGATATAAAACAACAAAACATGTAGTATGAAAATAAAATTAGTTTGGTGACCAGAAAGAGTTGAAATCAGTGATTTTTGCTAAATGTCACTGATTAGCTGAATTATTTTAAAGATTGTAGCCTTCCATCTACAGCTTTACATATTTGTTAAA